CGTAGGTTTATTTTGATAGAGACATGCTGAATACAAAGGGGCTGAAATGAATGAGTAATTGTTAACATAAAATAATAGAACATTTTAATAAAAATTTTTTTTCTTGAATATTAACTTACCAGACACCAAATAATTGCACAAATTAATAAGCATAACACAAATAAACCTATTTTTCTTATTCTCTGAAAGTGAAATATTTCCTCTTGCGCACACCAAACAAGTCAGTCCAAGACTAATGACGTGGCATTCGGCTGCTAAAATATTCACTGCTGGTCTTAGTAGAGAGAAATGATCACTATAATCATGTTGCATTCATTTCCTTTACTCGCAGGCACGTAAAGGAAATGAATGCAACATGATTATAGTGATCAGTCATTAGTGAATGTTGTAGTTAGTTATTAATAATTATGTATAACAGGATATTGGAAAAATTAAGTTACGAAATTTTTACTAAAATGTTTTTTACATACCGTTATATTGGCTGGGCTGCAAAAATATTCACTGTGGGCCGCATGAGGCCCATGGGCCAAGAGTTTGACATTCTTGGCCTTGGGATTACCGCTTACATGTAGGCACAGTGTGTGCACGCTTGGGAGGTATGAGTGGAGGAAGAAAGCATTAGGATTTCAGTTTATACTTATTTGAAATCCCATTCTTTTTTAATGCACATACTTTAAAATCAACTTCATGTGGTGGAGCAGTAGTAAGGACAATATGGTCAGCAGCTCTTGAGCACTTACTGTGGCCATGCTCTCTTTTAAACACTACACAAAGTAATGCTTAGGGCTTCGCAAAAAAACTGATGAGATGGTTTCTGTTATTATCTCCATTTTACAGATGAGAAAACGGAGACCAAAGAGGTTGAATAACTGGCCAAACATCACATCACTAGAGAGCAGCTGTCCCAAGATTCACACCCAGGCTGACTCTAGCAGCCACCTGTTATTCACAATGCCAATGTGCAGTCAGACTGGAGACCCACAGACCACAGTACACATGTATGATTTATAAACATAAATCACAGTACACATGTATGATTTATAAACAAATAAATAATACACAAATAAGATACAGATATCAAGGGACCTGCTCAACATTTTTTATTTAAAAGGTTTCATAATCAAATAATTAAACCATGGTGGCAGATGCTGAGTTCTTCGAGCAAGGTTAAGTCTCACTCTTCTTTCTGTTCCCCCCACCCAGGAGCTAGCAGGCATCTGGGTCCTAATATATGCTCAATAAACATCTGCCTACTCCCAGAAATATCCACTGATTGATAATCATAGAAGATGTGGTACATGTATACAGAGGAATATTACTCAGCCATAAAAATGAAACTTTACCATTTGTGACAACATGGATGGACCTAGAGGGTATGATGCTAAGTGAAATAAGTCAGAGAAAGACAAATACCATATGATTTAACTTATATGTGGAATCTAAAAAACAAAATAAATAAAACAGAAACAAATTCATAGATACAGAGAAGAAAATGATGATTGCCAAGTGGGAGGGGGCTGGGGGGCTGGGTGAAATAGGTGAAGTGATTAAGAAGTATAAACTGGTAGTTACAAAATACAGCGGGGCCTTGACTTACGAGTGTCCCGACTAACGAGTTTTTTGAGATACCAGCTGTCTCTCCGCCGATTTTTTGCATTGAGTTGATAGAGTAATTTGAGTTAACGAGCTCCTTAACGAGCTCCTTAATGAGCTCGGTCTCGGAACGAATTAAACTCGTAAGTCAAGGCCCCACTGTATAGGGACTATAATCAATAATATTGTAATAACTATGTATGGTTTTGGGGGTACTAGACATTATCAGGGGATCATTTTATAAGTTATATAAATGTCTAACCACTAGGCTGTACTCCAGAAACTAATATAATATTGAATATTAGCTCTAATTGAAAAATTTAAAAATTTAAAAAATATTAATGCTGATCAACACTGGCTGTGTGCCAGGGACTCGCACACTAAGCTTCACACAGTCCTGGGAGGTGAGTGCTAGGAATTACCCATTTGGCAGCGGAGGGCACTGAGCAGCTCAGTCGTTTGCCCGGGTGCAGAACCTGAACCCACATTGTGGGCCTGCAGAGCGCACTCGCTCCCACTGGTGACCAGGTCCTTAGGGAACAGCTTGTGAAAGTCCGGGGGTGAGGGCGGAGTGAGAACAGCAGGAAGGAGGCACAGGTGGGTTGTTCGCTCCTTTGTCCGCTGGTTCCCTTTGCCAGGAGTGCCTTTCCCTATTGGCCTCACCGGCAAACTCCTGCCTACCCTTCCGGTGCCAACTCAAAAGCTGCCTCCTTCAGGAAGCCCTCCCTGCAGCTAGTTACACCTGCTCTGTGGTTCAGACCACTTCTTTCTCACTGGAGTTGGAGCTCCTCGAGGGCAGGGCCAGGTCTTACTCAAGGGGCATCCAAGGAGCCAGCTCAGCAAACCTATGCGGGTGTCCTGAGCCTGTGCCCACCTCTCCTCCCAGGCCAGGGGCGCCCCCACCCCTGGGTTTTCCTCTGTGAGCTCCACTTTCCTTCCCTCCTTTTCTTCTCCCTCCCCCTTCCTCTCCTTCCTGCAAACTTGTCTGTCTCCTCTCCACACTCTTTCTTCCTCCTTCTTCCCTCCCCTCCAGACCTCCCCTCTGCTCCCCGCCCCCTTT